AGGAGGAGAGAAAGTGACAGGAGGTGTAAATGAGTTTTGTTTGCATGGGGTCTAGGATGAGATCGATTGTGGATAGGAGAGAGAAAGTAGAAAAATTAGTGCAAGGCATGAGATGAGAGAAGGGGGGAGTGTAGCAGAGAGGGGCATGTGTAAATGTGTATGGGGGATGAGTGAAGTGGGTGTAAGGAGAGATTTTTATTCTGAGGGAGAAGGAGGAAATAAAGAGGAGGAGAAGACAGATCATAAACTAATCTGGGAAAAAGTAAATTGGAAATAATTGGAATATCAAGAGCTGGTGAAGGTAGGGTAAATATTAAGTTTTATGGGTTAAGAAAGTGCAGGAGTGTACTAATAAGAGGCAGTGTGTACACCTGTTATTTTTACTTATCTAAAATGTAGGTGTGACAGACAATCTATAAATGTAATAATGAGCATGGGGTAGGGTGGTGAGGGGATGGGAGGGCGGTTATCAGACTTTCTTACAGCAGTATTGGGGCTTCATAGTTTTGAAATCAGGCTGTTGAATAAAGATATGTGAGGGTCAGATAGGCTTGCAATAAAGCTGAGGGAGGGGGATATAGATCTAGGCATAGAGATTAAGGGATGGTTATTCAAATAAAAACAAACATATCAAACTTATTGATACCTGGACTTGAAGTGTAAATTGAATTGAGCAATCAAACAGCTCATACTGAATCCAAAATGTCAGAATATGCCAAAGCACATAATAACATTGCTGAGCAAGTGCAGCTTTATAGGAACAAGTTGGAAATATGGAATCTAAATTATTAGATGCAGAAGACCGGGCACGACGTAACAACCTGTGGCGGAGGAGAGTTCCAGAATCAATAATTGAAACTGAATTGCCTACATTTATCCAAAGCTTTTGGGACATCTTTGTACCTGAAATTGCAGTTGAAATTCTTCTGCTTGACAGGCTTCACAGGATCCCAAAACCGAGACATCTGTCAGATGAAATCCCTTGGAACATAATTTTACGTGCCCACTACTACCACATCAAAGAGAAAGTAATGAAAAACGTATCGTGTCGTATCGTTAAAGACTGGCCAGCGCAATATAAAAACATTAAGATATTTGCAGACCTTTCAGCCGTTACACTTCAAAGAAGAAACATGTTCCAACCAATATTAAATACATTAAGTGAAAGTGGTTTGCGGTACAAATGGGGATATCCCACGAAACTGCTAGTCTTCCAACAAGGATAAACAACAGTTATTCAATCACCAGAGGATGGCACTGCTACACTCAAGAAATGGGGTTTAGCTACCGATCTTAGAACAACTGGCATGAAAACACAAAGCTGAGTAACCCTAGAATGGAATAGGACATAAGGACTGACCTTTATTTTGATATTACTTTACTTCAATTAACATTAAAAAAAATAGATAATTAATTTTTGAAATCATTACCATATAGCTTTCTTCACAGGGATTACATTTTCTTGCCATATCAATGTTATATGCTTTATGCTATCATGTGCTTTTGTGCAAAATTGATATATGAATTAAGCCACCTTACAATAAGATAAAAACAGGATATATAAATTATTGATATGAAAAGATTAATACGCATGGATGTGTTCTTATAATGATATGGTGGAGGGGTCAGCAGAGTATCTGGGTTCTCAATGCAGGCAGTTGGGAGTGGGTAATCATAGGGTGGAATTAACATGTGTTGTTTGGTTGGAGAGTGGTTTATAAGGGGTTTATAATGTAAAGCCGGAACATAATTTGTTATTGTCATGAAAGTAACACAGATTAACAAATCTAAATACTGAAGGTTATATATTTTTGAAGTAAGATATAGTCAAATTAAGACTGATACAGTAGACAAGGGTAAATAGCATACAATAGGTTTGAGATTTTTTTAAATGGAAATGGATGAAGTAGATAGGTGTTGTAGTCTGATTGGTGTTTTAACCTGCCGATGGGGCAGGGACACACGTCATAGTCTGCTTTAATTAATACCCTATGCTGTTTTGTTTGGGACTGCAAATGGTTTGCATAGGCAACTAGAGTGCTGCATCCTATGATGATAGTATTTTGTGTGTTTAGATGCATTAAAATGAGAAGGACAGTGGGAACTGAATTAGCCAATAATTATGGGACATAGAGGAAGTCCTAAAACCCCACTGGTTCGTTATTGTATATACTTGGGTTTTTTACTCTGTTTTTGTTTTCTTGTACTTTTCTTTTTTTTGTGTGTGTGTGTTTATTTTTTTTATTTTATTATTATTATTTCTTATTAGGATTACAAATATGACCATCTCCAACATGCTAATTTACTTAATATTTTCCCAATAGAGAAAAAAATGTCTTTTTAAAAAGTTTGCTAGGGAAAAACAATAGGCTAAACAAAGAGAAAGCTAAAACCGTAATAACATTGAGTAATAATTTCATGCTTATTAGGAAGACACTATATAATATGTCTGTTCTAAATGATAATGAAATGATTACATACATGTTATTTTGCAATAGAGGAAGAAATAATACTAATATGAAAATATATTCCCAAAATGTTAGGGGGCTCAACACCCATCATAAACGCTGAATCTTATTAGAAGAAGCAAGGAAGGAAGGAGTTGATATATTATATCTGCAAGAATCACATTTTGTAAAAGGTAGAATACCATCTTTTGGAAATCAGGATTACCCAATCCAATATCATTCAACTCACACATCTAAAACACTAGGTGCTACCATAATGATTCATAAATTTCAATCTTTGAGTTTTTGAAAGTGATAATAGACGGACAGGGTAAATATATATAATTTTACTTTACTTAATTGTTAATAATTTGTACACATTAGTGAATCTATATGGTCCAAATGAACACCAACCAAATTTTATACATAAGATTTTACATAAGTTAAGCTTAATACAAAACGGTATGAATATTATTTGCGGTGATGTTAATCATATTCTTGGAGATGGATAAAACTTTGTCTCCATTCGCACCCAAGTGTAGAACTCTTAAAATACAACGTAAAGCACTGACAAAATTATTAATGGAACTTAGTCTTTATGATATCTCGCAAAGGGGCTTTACACATTATTAAGCAGTACATAAATCATATTCCAGAATTGATTTAGCTATGACCTCAGGTTCAACACTGCATAATATTCTACACAGTTTCATTGGGGACATATCTTTGTCTGATCCCGCTCCATTACTTATTACGATAAAAAATAAATTTGCTTTTAGGGGAACTATACCACGACATCTTAATGAGACCTTGAAAACACTAATTATTTAGAGAAAAGCTTCAGAACTCATTAACTGAATATTTTAAACAAAACAATACTTCAGATGTTACACCAGTATCACTTTGGCAGCCATATAAAACAATAATAAAAGGGCTGTTTATAAGTCAAGCATCCTTTAAAAAAAAAAAAAAAAACAGTATCATAAAGATCGACTAAAGTTATTAAGAGAATTAAGGGATGTTACAAATTGTCATTTTCTCAACCCATCTGATCAGACTCAAAAGATAATAAATACTTTTACTAGGAGTTTAAACGAAATTGAGATAGTAAAAACTGCCTCCACACTTCAGAAATTAAAAATGAGAAATTATACTCAGAATAATAAAGCAGGGAAAAGGATGGCTACCATTTTTAGACAAAATCAAGTTTAAAATAAAATCCTATATATACTAAACAGACGAGTGATAAAGCTATCAAAACTATAAGATGTTTTAAATGAATTAGCTAATTATTATAAGAAAATATACAATCTAAAAGATGAGGTTAATCTTTATCAACCATCACAGTCAACTGTTGATAAATTATTGAACTCAGTGAATTTGTCTTCTTTAACCCAATCTCAAATTCATAAATTACAGGATCCTATCAGTATACAAGAAATAGCTACAGAGATAAAATCCTAACCCAAAGGGAAATCACCGGGACCTGATGGGTTCACAAGTATATATTATAAATTATTTTCAGATATTTTGGCCCCGCAGTTGTTTATGTAATACAACAAGAAACTATGCCAGCAGAAATGCTAATGGCACATGTAACCACCCTCCCGAAACCCAGTAAATTACCTAATCAAGGACAAACATTAAGACCTATATCCCTTATGAATACAGACATTAAAATCCTAGCAGAACTGCTTACTATGTGAATGAAGTTTATAACACCAACTTTCATTCACAGGGATCAAGTGGGTTTTGTGGAGGGAAGGCAAGGAGCAGATGGAACATGAAAAATCTTGGATCATATATTGTCAGGATTACTGTTTGATCCAGCACGTAGAACTGTATAGCACAGATGATTAATAAGTAACGTATTACTGGTCCTTAGAATGGCCGGATTTAACGTACATAGAATAGTAAAAAATACTAGCAAAGGTCAGGGAACACAGAAAGGGACGCAACGATGAGGAAAGCCAGGAGTCATGATACCAGAATATAGAGAAGTCAATAAACAAAGCCAAAGTCAAACACCAGGTAGAAAACTATAAACAGGAACGCGCTCTTGGACAACCACAAGGGAAACCATGACAGGGCACTGAGCAGGATGAGAACTGGGCCTAAATACCCCTCCTCTAGATCTGATAGGCTGTAACCGGCCTTTGACCCCAAAGTCAGTTACCAGGTTTCATTTGCATAATTGCTGCTCAGCATTAACCCTTCTGTGGATTAGGTTGCTGCTCGGCACAACCACATTTTTATAAGCGGATGAATACGTGACATATAAATATATATATATATATATATATATATATATAAAAAAAAAAAATAATAATAGCACTCCCAGGACTTAATGAATATAGTGAAAAAAATATATACTTAGCTTTTATTAAATGACAGCCACATGAAAAATCAACGTTTCAGTTCCTATATGGAACTTTCGTCAGGACAAGGTGCTGTTCACACATCCACAAATATATAACAAACAAATATCTATTCAATTAGTACATTGTATTAAGCACAGCTGCAACTTACCAAACTCCCTCAGTGATTCCCATATTACACGCCCGAAAAAACGAGGGTAAAATTGACCTTTAGACAGGTCTTTTGCAGCTGAACTCTGCTGCTTGTATTTGCGTTCCAGCGTGGAACGCAACCCGGAAGTTGATACGTTACCATAGTGACGTGCCGACTAAATCTAAACGGGCGGGCGGGATTCACTGAACGGGAGAGAGTAAAAAAATACTCTAAATCTAAAACTCAAGAAAGCCCCCTAGGGGCCACTCAACATATATACAACATAAGTACATCACACAGTATATTTGGAAGCTTGTTGGAAAAATTAAACAATACCGATCTCAAATACGATAATTTTTCACAAATATGCATAAAGACTAGTATTCTAAACAGATTTAAGACAATCCTGTTCAGGTTTAACCCACATACATATATACATATGTATGGGAGATGGAAAATAATGCCCCCTATCGGTTTTCTCATATAAAGGACTAAATGGGTCATTGTTTAATATTAATATCCCACTATGGATTCGACAGAATATTTAAAGGGTCCTATATCCTGGGCTCAATTATCTACCCCTATATTAATCCCATATTGGTTCTACCCTATTCAGAACTCGACTTTTTAATTAATTTTTATATTAAATATATGTATTTTTTGGCAAACTATCAATATATACAACACAGGTAAATGCCCTTGTTCCCTACCCATTTCTACTCTATATAATGGAACAAGATATCTATCTAATACGAAAAAATCTTTTCACACCTTCAAAGAATAATAGTGTATACTTCCAATATTCCAATCTTCTCCCTAGATTTTTAATGGCAGAAAGGCACTAATATAACCCCACCTATACTGGAAAATAAAACTAAATACTACATACTACATCAAAGACCTGAGATACTATCAACCTCAGTCTGAGATGCTTTCTCCTCTTAAGAAATAATAAATAATAAAGCTTGATATTGCGTCTGAAATCTGAGATACTGACAACCTCAGTCCGAGATGCTGTCTCATCATAGAAAACCCCCCAGGGTATATTTTTCATTCAATCCTCTGGGTTGCACTGTGTCTAAAGTTCTAATCCAGTATAGTTCCCTTCGTAGTAAGAGCTTCTTGCGATCACCACCCCTCAGCAGTTGTGGGATATGATCAATCGCCAAAAACGTAATTGTAGGGTGAGGATGGTTGAATTCCAAAAAGTGCTTTGCAACCGGTAGTTCTGATCCTTTATCCCTGTATGCGATAAGTATACTCGACCGATGGTTCCGAATTCTTTCACGTAGTGGTAGCTCAGTTTTCCCCACATATACCAAACCACAAGGACACCCCAGTTTGTAGATGACATAATCACTTGTACAGGTGATTCTGTGTCTTATTAGATATTTCTTCCCTGTATGAGGGTGAGTAAACGATTTGCTGGGAATCATATGACTACACGTCACACAGCCCAAGCATCTGTGACACCCCACATTCTGGTAGGTAGTTGGTTGGCTATAGCAATGAGTGGGATCAGTTTTAACCAGTAAATCCCTCAAATTGCTATCCCTTCGGTAGCACATCATCGGGCGTTGTTTAAATTGTGATGGTAAACTGGTACCATTCTGTAATATTCTCCAATTTCGATCCACTGATTGTTTAATGTTGTCCGATATGGTGGTGTACGTTACAGAAAAGACCAGTCTTTCTCTTGTGTCTGTCCGTTGTACTGGTGTTTCATAACACCTGTTCAGTGCTTTTGATAAACTTCTGGGGTTATAACCCCGTGCAAGGAATTTGTCCCACATAGTTTGTAGCTGAATCTTTATATTTGCCACATTAGAATTATTACGAATTACCCTCATAAACTGTGATTGAGGAAGTGAATTAATAAGAGGTCTTGGATGGTGGCTCTCAGCATGCAGGAGTGTATTCCTATCAGTTGATTTATTGAATAGAGTGTAGGCTATTTTGCCATTCTCCTTGTACACACGAACATCTAGAAAGTCTATCTGTTCCTCACTTGTAGTCATCGTAAGGCGAACTGGCTTGTCCAGATTGTTAATGATCTCAAGCATTTGGTTTGGAGTGGGTCCCACATTGTTCCAAATGATCATGATATCGTCGATAAAACGACAGTAAAATAATATACTTTCATGGAATTGTGAGAGAATATGTTCTTGTTCGAATATATACATAAAGCTATTAGCATACATTGGGGCCATGGCCGCCCCCATTGAAGTTCCCGCAATTTGTTTGTACCAGGTATGTTCAAATCTAAAATAATTTTGACTTAGTACCAGGTATAAAACAACCAATCACATCACAGTTACATCCCACATATTCCCTCCCCTTATCCTGAGAGGAAACTCAATTACACATACAGTTAAAACATACTTTCTACCCAACTTTCATAACTCTAAAACCATACATCACATTCACATAAAATTACATATTCACAATCAATCCATTCAGGGGAACAACATATTAAAAAATGGCATGAATCAGACCAGGGGTTCAAAAGTTAGTAAAAAGTATCTTTTGTACCCTGGCTGGCAGCATGGCTATCTGGCTCAAACAGGTTTTACAGAGCCCTCTATCCTGGACAATGGGGAAAGTAATCCAATTATCCAGGGATAGAGGCAGACTCCATTGAGCACATGGGGACACAAAGACAGTAAAACACTTTAAAATACATCAGGTAAGACACCTTACATTAAAACTATACATTTAACATATCCCCAGATAGCTCAGGTCTGAGCGCACATTATTAAGTGAATGGCGCTCAGACCACACGAATACAGTTTAATCGCCATGGAGCCAAAGTCTTTACAGTCAGTTTCATACGAATGGGCTCCATGGGATTCCTATCTGGGGTATAACATATTCAAACAAATCTACTGAACCCCAGGCAGAAAAGCACGAATACAGCTTTTCTGCAGGCAAAAATAAAGTCTTTTAAAAGGGGGCCATAGTCCAAAGGCAGCAGGCGAGCAACCAGGCTTCTCCAATGCAATGTGGCGAGATTGGTCTTGTCACATCTCTCCCCTTTTCCAAACAGACTAACAGGGTATCTGACCTCCTGCCGGTCAGTGCCCTTGTTAGTCCAGCAGCCCACCCACAAGACATAATCAACAGCACAGCCCACCCACAATAAATGGTTACTGCACCTGGGTAGAGGAGAAGCTTGTCCATGTCCAGGTGCCTCACCACGGCTGTGCTGGGTACGGGTACGCTGACTTGGTGGGGTGCTGCATGGGCAGAGACCAGCGGCACTCTGCCCTGTTGCCAGCGCTACTGGGAGGGTGGCCTGGTTGAAGCCTGGTTGTTGGAGGGGGAGACCGACTGTCTCCCCTTTAGATACACAGTCCTGCTGCTGGAGACCGACTGTCTCCCCTTTGGACACACAGCTCTGCTGCTGAAGACCGACTGTCTCCCCTTTGGACACACAGCCCTGTCGCTGGGGGGCAGAACCGACCATCCCTACCCCCTGTGCTGTATGTGCAAAGACCACAGTCCCATCTGCACAGTTGTGGGGCTTACTGTCTCCCCCGGGTACATTAAGCTGCCGCTGGGGAGAGGGGGTAACAAGCTCCTCTCCAATATATACTTCCAGCCGCGGGGGAGGGAGACCGACTGTCTCTGCTCCCAATACAGAGTCCTGCTGCTGGGGAAAGGAGACTGGGCTCTCTATTCCCGGCAGGAAACTCTGCCGCTGGGGAATGGAGACTGGGCTCCCAATTCCCCAAAAATCACGCTGCCGCTGGGGTGGGAGGACACTGCTCTCCTCTCCCTGCACTTCACACTGCCTTCCCGGCATATCACTCTGCTGCTGGAGGGCAGGAACAACTACCTCTGCCCCCTGTAACTCAGCCTGCCGCTGGGGAATGGAGCTTGGGCTCCCAATTCCCTGCAATATCTCCCGCTGGGGAATGGAGCTCGGGCTCCCGATTCCCTGCAATATATCCCGCTGGGGAATGGAGACTGGGTTCCCAATTCCCTGCAATATCTCCTGCTGGGAATGGAGCTCGGGCTCCCGATTCCCTGCAATATCTCCCGCTGGGGAATGGAGACTGGGCTCCCAATTCCCTGCATATCACACTGCCGCTGGGGAATGGAGACTGGGCTCCCAATTCCCTGCAGTACCTGCCGCTGGAGTTCCTCCCAACGTGCCAGCTGACCTTCCCTTTCTGCCCGGTGTTGCAGATTCATGAACACTAGGTTCCACATGGACTGCACATATTTCTCAGCTGGATTGGGTCCGAAGAAGTTCAGCCACAACCACATCATACGGTCAAATTCCTCTAAAGAGTATCTGTACTCCACTGCTGGTTCCATTCTGTTGCTTTTAGGGTCGCTGTACTGGGACATGCGTTGCCCTTAACTTGTAAATCCAAAGAAATGGTGTCTCCTGTAGCTGTCCTTCTGGCTGTAGGAACGATCCCGCCGCTTGCCACCAATTGTAACGGACCGTTTTGCACACAAGGGGTAAAAACCGTTTAGGCGATCGGCCCCCTTTCCAGAGATACAGGCACAGCTACTGCAGAACACCAAACTCCCGAACTGGATACAAAATAGCACTCCAACTCCCGAACTGGAACCTCCCAAATAGCTGCTAGCAGACGAACAGGAAAAGCAGACAATCAGCTTACACTCCTGGCAATCAGTCTCTAACAGCATACAGTGAATCCCCCCCAAGAACGAGACAAGGCTCCGTGTTGAGGGTCAAGCAGTGGTCTGAGGTGCTTTTATTACAGTCTTGCAAATGCAGGACCGCCCACAGGGAGGTATAAAACAACCAATCACATCACAGTTACATCCCACATATTCCCTCCCCTTATCCTGAGAGGAAACTCAATTACACATACAGTTAAAACATACTTTCTACCCAACTTTCATAACTCTAAAACCATACATCACATTCACATAAAATTACATATTCACAATCAATCTATTCAGGGGAACTGTCACATATTCATCCGCTTATAGAAATGTGGTTAATTACATTTACTGTCCACACAGGAAAAGTTGTGCCGAGCAGCAACCTAATCCACAGAAGGGTTAATGCTGAGCAGTAATTGTGCAAATGAAACCTGGTGTCATGTATTCATCCGCCTAGAGAAAAGTGATTAATGACATTTACTGTCCACACAGGAAAAGTTGTGCCGAGCAGCAACCTAATCCACAGAAGGGTTAATACTGAGCAGCAATTATGCAAATGAAACCTGGTAACTGACTTTGGGGTCAAAGGCCGGTTACAGCCTATCAGAACTAAAGGAAGGGTATTTAGGCCCAGTTCTCAGCCTGCTCAGTGCCCTGTCGTGGTTTCCCTTGTGGTTGTCCGAGAGCGCGTTCCTGTTTATAGTTTTCTACCTGGTTTTGACTTTGGCTTTGTTTATTGACTTCTCTATATTCTGGTATCCTGACTCCTGGCTTTCCTCATCGCTGTGTCCCTTTCTGTGTTCCCTGACCTCGGCTAGTATTTTTGACTATTCTTTGTACGTTAAATCCGGCCATTCTAAGGACCGGTAATACGTTACTTATTTGTCATCCGTGCTGTACAGTTCTACGTGCTGGATCAAACAGTAATCCTGACAGGAACAACATATTAAAAAATGGCATGAATCAGACCAGGGGTTCAAAAGTTAGTAAAAAGTATCTTTTGTACCCTGGCTGGCAGCATGGCTATCTGGCTCAAACAGGTTTTACAGAGCCCTCTATCCTGGACAATGGGGAAAGTAATCCAATTATCCAGGGATAGAGACAGACTCCATTGAGCACATGGGGACACAAAGACAGTAAAACACTTTAAAATACATCAGGTAAGACACCTTACATTAAAACTATACATTTAACATATCCCCAGATAGCTCAGGTCTGAGCGCACATTATTAAGTGAATGGCGCTCAGACCACACGAATACAGTTTAATCGCCATGGAGCCAAAGTCTTTACAGTCACTTTCATACGAATGGGCTCCATGGGATTCCTATCTGGGGTATAACACATTCAAACAAATCTACCGAACCCCAGGCAGAAAAGCATGAATGAAGCTTTTCTGCAGGTAAAAAAGATGTCTTTTAACATGGGGCCATAGTCCAAAGGCAGCAGGCGAGCAACCAGGCTTCTCCAATGCAATGTGGCGAGATTGGTCTCGTCACAGATATCTTGTTCCATTATATAGAGTTGAAATAGGTAGGGAACAAGGGCATTTACCTGTGTTGTATATATTGATAGTTTGCCAAAAAATACATATATTTAATATAAAAATTAATTAAAAAGTCGGGTTCTGAATAGGGTAGAACCAATATGGGATTAATATAGGGGTAGATAATTGAGCCCAGGATATAGGACCCTTTAAATATTCTGTCGAATCCATAGTGGGATATTAATATTAAACAATGACCCATTTAGTCCTGTATATGAGAAAACCGATAGGGGGCATTATTTTCCATCTCCCACACATATGTATATATGTATGTGGGTTAAACCTGAACAGGATTGTCTTAAATCTGTTTAGAATACTAGTCTTTATGCATATTTGTGAAAAATGATCGTATTTGAGATCGTTATTGTTTAATTTTTCCAACAAGCTTCCAAATATACTGTGTGATGTACTTATGTTGTATATATGTTGAGTGGCCCCTAGGGGGCTTTCTTGAGTTTTAGATTTAGAGTATTTTTTCCCCTCTCCCGTTCAGTGAATCCCGCCCGCCCGGTTAGATTTAGTCGGCACGTCACTATGGTAACGTATCAACTTCCGGGTTGCGTTCCACGCTGGAACGCAAATACAAGCAGCAGAGTTCAGCTGCAAAAGACCTGTCCAAAGGTCAATTTTACCTGCGTTTTTTCGGGCGTGTAATATGGGAATCACTGAGGGAGTTTGGTAAGTTGCAGCTGTGCTTAATACAATGTACTAATTGAATAGATATTTGTTTGTTATATATTTGTGGATGTGTGAACAGCACCTTGTCCTGACGAAAGTTCCATATAGGAACTAAAACGTTGATTTTTCATGTGGCTGTCATTTAATAAAAGCTACGTATATATTTTTTTCACTATATTCATTAAGTCCTGGGAGTGCTATTATTTATTTATTTTTTCTATAAATGTTGCTG